CGCGTCCCGTCCGCTCTCCTCGGAAGCCGCCTCTGCCGCTTCGGGCGCGCGGCTCCCGATAAAGGCGCCTGCCCGCCGGCACCCTCCCCTTCCTTAATCTTTCGAGCGCTACCGGGACCTAATGCAACGCTGAGGGGCGCGGGAAATCACGACTTCCGCAGTTACGGGACTGATTTTTTTGTTGTTTTAAACGAAGACATTTTAAAAATGTTATGGAATTACCTTTATAAGGAGCTGCTGCCTTCAGGTTATGTGGTTTTTTTTTAAAGTAGTAATTTATACTTGTCTTTTTTTGTTTATTTAAACTTAAAACGGCTTCACCTTTTTACTGTGCCGGACCAAGGTGGAGCGAGAGATACCGTTCTGCGTGAGAGGTTCAGTCCTGGATCACACCGGCAAGCGGCTTCAAGAACGTTTTGAAAGACGATTAAAGCTAACAAAGGCAACCGCCAGACTGTCACAGCGCAGTGACAGTCAGCTGGGTGTCCTGAAAGGAAGCTGGAGGCGCATATTTGGTGGTGATCCTTTATACTTGACGAAGGAGCGGCGACCCTCGAGTGACGGGTGATGCCAGCGCCTGGAGACGGAGGGGAAGGCGAGGGGGACAGGAACGGTGCTGCCGGACCTCTAAAGAGGAGATCGCTTCCATCCCGACGTGTTTCGGGGCGCCGGGCTTCCCCCGTCCCGCGGCGGCCACCTAAGAGCGGACGTACTTGCACTTGCCCAGTCGGCCGAGCGCGGCTGGCTTTTGCCTGCTGCAGACGTACAGACCGGAGCAGAGGCCTTAAAAACTCAGCACTCAGGTGTTTCCAGCTGTTGCAGGGAGCGGAGGAACCAGTTTAGATGAGGAGGTTTTTTTTCACTACAGGAAGTATTTATTTTATACTAAGAAAATGAAAACAAAAAAATACCCAAACCGCACCATAGACCCATCTTAGCCCAATGTTGCGTTCCTGACTTTGGGAGGCAGTCGCTGCTGCCGCACTGTTTAGTGCAGGTGCGTTTCTGTTTTCCAGTGGGACATACCGAGCGTGCAGATGCCCGGGCAGTCGGGGGGACTCTGCTGTCCTCCTTGCTCCCTCTTGCCACGCGGAGTCTGTGAGTAGCATTGTAAAGCGATTCTGAAAGCCGTGTTTGTTAATAATATTGTCCTTTTATATATATATATATATGTGTGTATGTGTATATATATATACACATACATATGTATGGGTGATGGATGTATAAATACATATACACACACACAAACATGTATGGCTATATATGGTGTTTGAATTTTTTGAACAAAATGCCAAACCCCACAGCCTTTTTAAGTTAACCAGCTTATTTGTATTTTAAAAGGTGCTTATTACTCCTGGTAAGCGAAGCCTGTTTCTCTTCCCCACACTTATCTCAAAAAAGGCAAGATAGATTTTTACAAAGTACTTCTCAAAAAAATTTGCTTCAGAGATAAAAGAAAGCGTGGAAAAGATGAACCCAAACAGTATATTTTCAGTATGTTAGAAACATAAAGGTTAACACTTTCAAAACTTCTAAATGACTGTGGAGCAACAGTACCACCAGACTTCAATGGGACTCTACTTCCTATTCAGTGTTCTGAAAAATTGCACCAAAAAACTGTATGCACCTTATTTTTTTCCCTTCCCCCAATCCTTCCAGAATAATTGTTTTTCTAATGTATTTCCTCATTTTTTTCCGTTCAGCACAAAATTTAACCCATCTTCATTCAATTTTCCGACCAAAATATATAATACTCTTT